CGTATTCTGATTCGTGAGCGAGTTCGGATTCCCGGATTCTGCTTACATCAAGTGGTATCATAACCCCGTTCAACTCAGCGGCAATTTGAGGTATTTTTTTATTTCGTTTTTTATGTTAAAAAAATTGTTTGTGAATTTCGTGTACTATTCACGGAGAAAAAAAATTAATAAAAAAAATTCATCAGCCACAAAGCTGAATGTAGGTTGAAAAGAAAGAAAAATAGATATCTTGTATTTTGGTTTGTGTATTTGTGGTTCAAATCGACGGTAAAAGAGTGGTGAGGAAGATAGCAATGATGAAAATCATGGAGCCAAACATTGAAGATGCTATGAGAGAGCTATTAGCACAGATGGCTCTTGTGGGAGCTATGCTTCAAACCATGGCAGAACAGAGATCGAGTTCTAATTCTCCGTTGCAACAGAGTTCGAGTTATGAGGAGGAGCAACCGAATCTAGAAGCAACGAAATCATTGATCAAATCTCCAGAACTGTAGAAGGAAGATGGAGATTCCTACGAGCTGTTTGTGGTGGAAAAGGAGCAGATGGTTTATCGCGATCCTTTTGATGATGATTTTGCTTGCAAAATCTCCCAAGCTTTGAGGTTTGTCGCTACAAAACCAAGAACGACGACCGACGAATTTGCAGGATGGGAGCAAGACTTTTATGGAGAGGAGCAGGGACGTAACATTCATTTTTCTGTGGATGATTGTCTTTTCTATCATAGGAAGTACAGGAAGAAGAGACAAGAAGATGGAGAACCTTGCTGGAGGGCTTTAAAGAATTTCATTTGGAAGCCATGATGGACAGCGTTGAGGGCAAAGCTTTTCCAACAGGGAGGGACTGATGTGATCCTGTTGCGTAAGAAATACTCGGCCATAATGGGCAAGTACCCGACCGGGTATTTTGGCAAGAGACAGGTAATTGAAGCAGAAGCACCCCCGGCCGGTGCAACTAAATACCCGACCGGGTATTCTGATCGGTTTTTAGACCTGCCGATTTTTGCCACATTTTTCGTGTAGAATTCTTTTCCTTTTTGGTGTAGAGATCCCCTGATTGTCATACAAAAGCCAATAATGTAAAGTAGGATCGGAAACTGAAACACAGTGGATGCCTTAGGGCATAGAATGCCCGCGGTTCGCAAGAAAATCAGCACACTTGTTACCCTCGCGATAGATGTGATGTAACGTCACCTCCCAATTAAGTTGGAGGAGCTCGGAAAACCTCTAGATGATGGCTGCATGTTGATGATCCGACGTGTCGGGCGACGAGAATAGTTGAACAGCACACTGAGAATCCAACTCCACTCTAATTCGTCGATGTCCGAGGTTCCAAGCCAACTGAAGACCCTCCACAACGCCTCTCAACTCTGCCCGGGTAATGGAACACATACCCAGGTTGCTAGCGAATGCTGCCAAGCAACATCCTGTATGATCTCGTAACAAACCACCTGCAGCAGCATGGTGTGAGTCAGTATGAACGGAGCCATCCGTGTTGAGAGAAACCTTCTCGGGAGGTGGTGGGTGCCATGAGATCTCCACCTCCGTTCTTATGGGTTGGCTAGGCATATGGGTGAGCCTGTCCTTGTTCATGGCATTCCGCACGACATTTATCCATGCCAGGATGCGCTGTAGAAAATCATCAGTTGAAACGATCTTGCCTGCGAAGACTCGATCATTCCTGATCTTCCAAAGAGACCAGCAGGTAATGCCAAACTCAAGGCAATGGTGCTGATTCTTGATGTTGGTCAGGAGCCAATCCTGCATATTCATTCTGAAAAATGTTTGGTGGTCAGAAGGCTGGATGAGATGCAACCAAGTTAACCTGGTGAAATGACAGTCCCGCAACACATGCAGGGCTGTCTCTGGAGCTTCCCGGCAGTACATGCACATGTTATCTCTCGTCAAATGTCTCCGCTGTCATTCGCTGTTGGTGAGTAGGCGATCTTTGGCGGCTAACCAAATGAATAGGTTGACGCGAGCTGGGCCTCTCCACCGCCAGAAGGTCTTCCAATCCAGTGTTGGTGCTGACTCGTCGAGTTCTGCTGCAATTTGGTAGGCGGACTTGACGTGAAATTGCCCGTCACTCTCGGGTCCCCAGACTGCGAGGTCCTCCCCCAAATCACTCCTAGGTGGTTGGATGCCCACTACGTGCAAAACCATATCATTAGGAAGAAAAGTTTGTAGGAGGGGACTGTTCCACTCACCACTCGGCAGAATAAAGTCTGCCACTGTCTGGGAAGGATCGATGGTTTGGGCGGATTCCTGAACATGATCAATCAATTGTTCTCCGCTGTCAAGCCATCTATCCGCCCAGAAGTTAGTATCCCTCCCATTCTTAATGCTCATCCTCATTACTGTACAGGCTTTCCGCATCCACCTCCATAGATTCGATGCTCGCGCCATAGATTTAGCCTGAAGGGCTCCTCCCACAGTTTTAAAGTATTTGGCCTGCAAAACACGCACCCACAACTCCTCTGGGTTTTTAACAAATAGCCAGGTTAGCTTGGTTAGAAAAGCCAAGTTCATTTCATGAGCCTTTCTGAGACCCAGCCCACCTGCTTCCTTCGGCTTACATAGACCTTCCCAATGAACCAAGTGAATTTTCCGTCCAGCTTCCGTTGATCCCCAGATGAAATTGCGTATATTCTTGTCAACCTGATTGCAGATGTCCTGGGGTGATAACGTGGTCTGCATCTCATAGGCAGGGAGGGAGCTGAGGACGGAAATCGAGAGCGTGACCCGTCCAGCAAGGCTCCGATTCTTCGCCCTCCAACCTGCCAGTTTGTTATCCAACCAATCGAGTATATACTTGTACGTTACCTTTGTCACCCGCCCATGCAAAACTGGCACGCCTAAATACCTCCAAAGGTCTTTTGTAGCTTGGATACCAAGTACTTGAGAGATGGCCTGGCTTTCCGGTCGCTGCGTGTTGGAGGAGAAGAACACTACTTATTTATCCATGCTGACCTGCTGCCCAGACGCCAAGCAGAAACGATCCAAGAAGTCCCACATGACCCGTGCCTGAGCTTCAGTTGCTTCTGAAAACAAAATGAGATTGTCAGCGAAAAAAAGATGGGATAGGGGTGGGCCACCTGGGTTTGTCCGGGTTTGTCCGGATTGGCCTCCAAGGTCGACTCAAGCTCCCGTCTCGTGGTGGTCTCCTCTTCCAAAGAGATCGTGGAGGGATTCTGCTCATTTTGCTCTTCCAACTTGCTGAGGCGCTTTATCAGCTCTTTCTTTCTCCTCAGGATGTGCCCAAAAGCCTCACGGTTCCAACGGACCAGATCGTCGGAAAGTTGTTGAGTCTGTAAAGGGAAAGTATCTTCTTTCTGCCAAGATTCATCCAGAACTCTCGGGAAATCGTCATGGGTGAGCCAGGCTGCCAAGAAACGATAAGGTCGTGGCAATCGAGCAGCAGTATAGGGAGCCTCCTTGACTAGAATGGGTTGGTGATCAGAGCCCAGGCGATGAAGGTGATAGGTGGTAGTGCTGGGGAACTTGACTAACCACCTCCCGTTACATAGTGCACGGTCTAGTCGTTGAGAAAGATTTCCTCTACGCCAAGTGAACAGTGAATCCAACTTCAAGTAGAGCACATTCATCTACACAACGGCGGAAGGCCCGTGTACGGTAATCGTTGTACTCCGCACCCCCGATTCTGTCTCTCGGGCTGAGGATGGAGTTGAAGTCGCCTGCTAGAATCCACGGGTGGGATATGTCGCACGATAGCCGTCTAAGCTCAGCCCACAACTCATTTCGAGGGAGAGCATGCGGGCTTCCATAGACTGCCGATACTAAAACTGAGGTGCCCGAACCTCCTCGACGGGCACATTTCATGTGAATCATCTGCTCCCACCTGGTGATTTCTGTGACTTCCAGGTTAGACTCACGCCATAACACCCAAATGCCCCCTGCAAAGTCCACAACATCAGCAATGAGAGAACCATCAAAACCTGTTTTTGCAATAACCTGGCGAGCATGGCCACCGCTAATATGAGGCTCAAAAATAAACACTAAGTCCGGCCTATGAGGCCCACAAAACGAAAGGAGATGAGCAACGAAACGGTCATAGCCTGCCCCCTGGCAGTTCCACGATAAGATGTCTAACATAAGTAAGGCTTAAAAGGAACCTCAAACCAACACATAAAGTGCGGAGAAGGGAAGAGAGAGTCTTTTCCCTAAAACTCTGCCTGAGGCCGTTAGTTATCAATGGGCACGGGAGCATGCACTCCCTTGGAGGACACAAGCACACTCTGGCTTGGGGTCACATCTTTTGGTTGACTCGAGGTGTGTACGCGACTTTCGGCAACCTTGTTCACAGGGCGATCTCCCAGCCCCTGTTTTGTTCCTTTAACATGTGCAGCTCCCGTGGAGGTGTTCTTCTTGGGTTTGGCCCCATCCTTTGTCCCCTCTCTACCCCACCTGCCCTTTCCACTGGCACCAGGTGCTGCTCGAAACGAACCGTCGTGAGGCATTTGAGACACCGAAACACTCACGAGGCCCTGTGACAATGTCGTGGTGCTCCTAGTAGAAACGGTTGAGTCTTGTAAAACTGATGTTACTGGGGTCTCTTTCTCCGCAGACAACGATGTTTGCTGAGCGGTAGTATCTTTCTGGCCAACTGGGGTCTGGACCTGTCCCGCTTGCCTTGCTATATTTGCCACCTCTGATGCTTCGGTAGACTCGACTACCATGGTAGCCACCTGTTCTTGCTCCAATACGTTAAAACGAGAGCCTCCAGCTTCCGGGGGAGCCCGGGAACCCTCGCCCCCGCGAGCCACAACCCCCTTATTTTTGGTTGCTTGATTTATGTTATTCTTTGGCTTTACCATCATCCACTCACCATAGATTTGCTCCTTAAATGGAGTCTCCGCCAACGTAGGAGAGACTGGGGTCGGTTGACTCGGTTCTAGGGAAACCACCTTCCTAAGTGTAGGGCACGATTGGACTGAGTGACCATAATGGCCACACTCTATGCATATATTGTGGAGTCCCTCGTACTTAATGTAGTACGTAGTGCCCTCGATCTCCAATCATGGTTGCACGGTCCACCAGCACTGGGCGACCAATCCGGGCTCCAATACTTTCCACTGCTTCCTTGTTCACGAACTCCACCGGCAACTCGGGTAACTGTGCCCATACCATTGTTGAGACCACTTCGGCCAGTTTTGGGTTGAAACCTCTCCGCCATGGACGGACTGTGATATAGTGTTGGCCGATGAGCCATGGTCCACCAACGGAAGCCTGTTCGTAATCAATTTGGTTGGTAAAGCGCACCACATAGTAGCCATACGACAGGCTTGAAATCTGGAGAAAGCCAACTTTTTCCCAGAGTGCTTCGAGGCGGCGGGATATCACTGGGAACGGAAAACTTTGTTCCAGCACTTTGACAATCAAGGCAGATCGCCATTTACGGCGATAACCTAGTTTCTCCCTTGATGTAAACGGGATTGTCGGGCAACGAGGATCATCATCCTCCGGGATCACATCATCTGAATCCTCTTCGCGCATTGCTTCAGCCACGTCTTCGGAATCCAACTCCGCAACGTACCAGGAGTCTTCGGAGAACAGGTTAGCAAAGGACTTGTGCCCTGTCGTGCCCCATGCCGACGTTGGGCAGCAGTCTGAGGTCCCTTTGGGCTAAAGCTCGTGTCCATGTCGGGGTTTACTTCTTCTGGCAGCTTTTGGTCTTCTCTCATAGCTTCTGGGACAAAAAGTGGGTTCGCAACCATCGGCTTTGCACGTTTCTTTGCGTATTGTGTTTCACGGTCACCTTTGCTGTTCGGCGAAGATGAGGCCGTCGGTGGGCGACGTTGACACGCGTTGGGGTCTGGCGGGTGAAAAACCAGGGGTTGAAACCCCGGCGTAGCAGTCTCCATCGGCAGGCGGCGCCGCTAGGGTTGAGGGAGTCGCAGGGAAAAGCTCCGAGAAAAGTGGAGCAATATACCAACCAGATCATATTCTATTTTCCATACCTATTTAAAGGGTTGTAAGCCACAAATTTTAGAAGACTATTCTGACTTTGATAATGGAAAAACCCATTTCTGTTCATTGAGTTTTTACTCGTGGATTTGTCCTTAATTAATGGGGGGTCTCCAGCATTCGAGCAAGCTCTCTATCAATCATGTATTCCCCTTGATTGTGGTCGAGTTGCTACCCTTATATTGTTCGAGCCTCTTCCCGATTTGTGTTGAAGTTGCACGACAATTCCGCCTTATCGTTTATTTTTCAAGTTGTTGAGAGAAAATTCAGGAAAAAACCCCTAAAAAGTGAGAGCTGTGTATTCTGATTCGTGAGCGAGTTCGGATTCCCGAATTCTGCTTACATCAAGTCCTGCTTAAATAACATGTCTTATATGTGCGATTCGGGCTTAATTGTACACTTTTTACCCCTGTTTTCCTTAGTTTTTTGAGGCATTTGTACTCTAGGAGGAATGGTGGAAACAACCCCGAAGTCGAAAGTTGGACAAAAATACGCAAAATCGGGTCAATGGATGGAGGCAGCACCAGATCACGGTGGAAGCAGCGAGTTCACGATCAGGGAGACCATGAACTGGAGCCTCAAACCGTGAACCGCCAGGCGGCCAAAGCCTTTTTGGGTCTCACTGGACTCAAGTCAGATCACAATCGTAACAACGTGAACCCACGCCAAAGACCGTGAAGTGAGTTAGTGATGCGGTGCGTTTTTGCCAGAGATCACGGTCCACGCCTTGAGTTCATGACCGTGAACTGGGACCGTGATTTGAGCCCGACCTGGGTATATAAGGAGGCTTGAGATGAAGGAAAAGAGGGGAGGAGACCTTGAGTGAGAAAACCTTCTTCTTCCGCATTCTAGAGAGAGAAAGTGACGAGCAAGAGGCAAGAAGAGGCTAGGGTTTCATTCCAAGGCAAGGATTTGGGAAAATCTTCCCCAAAGGAAGATATCTTCTACCCAAGGAAGGATTCAAGCATCTCCATGATGGTTTTTCTTATTTCTCCTTGTGTTTTTCCCTCTTCTAGCATGGAGTAGTGACTCGCTATGACACAACTCCTAACAAAGGCCAAGTGTAACCAATGAAAGGGACTGCAGTATAGTGGCTCAAGCAATAAATATCGAATCCACGGGTCTCTAGAGTTACTATTACTCAGCTTCAGTTCATTATCTAGCAAACCAGATTAAGATGGAAGAACTAAAACTACTCTAGCAAACTACTGTTAAAGTGAATCTAATTACAGGTTGGGAACTCACTTAGGTATGATTCCCCCTAGCCACTAGCTAGATTAATGATCGATCATCTCTAACTTGTTTCACTTTCATTCACAATGTGGAGAATCCTTGATTAAACCTTGAATCTCGACTAAAGGATCAAGGCCCACTTGAGTCAATTGCCTAGAGGGATGTATCCTTCTCTAGAACAACCGATCAAGGCGTATTGAACTAGATTCCCTCTATCGAATGAGGTTCTCAATCGATACAAAGGATTGAATCAACCCTCGACTAAAGCAATCGATCCAATACTATCAATCTATGGTGCTCTATTGACCTAATCAGGTATTCTCTCTCATAGGATCAAAGCAGAATCAATAATCTCGACTAAAGCAGAATTGAATCATGAAAACGTGCATAGATTGAATATGAACTCAAGATTATCAAGTAGGAGTACCCATACAATCATCCAATCAAACAAACATAGCTAGGGTTCCTCAAAACCTAGGTGAAGGGAAGTTACTCCATAGAGAACAGAGAGACTGCAGTAAGAATCTTCAGATGATCAGTCTTCAAGTCCGGGCTGGTTCCTCGAGCTTCCAAGGCGAAGAAATCCTCCAATTCTACTCCAAGAATGCCCTCAAATCGCTCTCTCTCTCTCCCTAGGGTGTTTGGGATCCAAAACCCAGCTCGCCCTCTCCTTTGTCTCGAAATTGGGTTAAAACCCAGAAATTCCCGATCACATGGCCAGGCCACACGGCCGTGTGACTTTCCCAGCTGCCCGTGTGAGTGTCCAAACGCGGCGTTTCAATTAGTGGGCTTCCAGGCATGCTGCACGGCCAGGGCCACACGGCCGTGTGGATTCCCAGGCTGCCCGTGTGGGAATTACCGAGCCTTCACACGGCCACAACGGGTCCCCTACACGGCCAGTGTGGCTTGCCCGTGCAATTTAGTGCCACACGGACGTGTGGGTTTTTAGGCGTGCCCGTGTGGCTTCTCAGCTTCTCTCCAAACGTCCAATCTTCATCCAATCGACCCCGAACTCGTTCCCAAGCCTTCATTCACGTGCCAGGACCTGAAATTTCACAAACCAAGAACAACCTAGCGTGAAATTGGCCTAAAACACGGGAATCGACATCTCAAACGACTCAAGAATAGGGGTAAAAACATGTGCAATCAATGGTCTATCAAATTCCCCCACACTTAACCGTTTGCTTGTCCCCAAGCAAACCTAACTCAAACCAATGCAGCTCTCCAGACATCTATAGCAACAAACAACCCCGATCGTCGGTAGAGGATTTTCTAGATCATAAAGCAACTTACGAGGTCAACTGGTCCTCTAAGACGTCCCCTATCTCTCTCAATGCGAGTTCTAGACTCAAGCCAGGATCATGAGAAGAAGTAGAAGTAAGACAATCAGTTCATGGATAAAGGGACTCAAAACCTTCACAACCAAGGACTCGTTGTACCGGGGTGCTTTTTCACTTCATTTCACCGTTGGAACCCCTTTTTCTCACTTTCATTTACCTTTTTTTTCTTTTTTTTCTTTCATTTGGCGGGGTTCCAACTGCAGTCTTTTGAACGGTCGACCCTTATTAGTCGAGCAAGAGCAATTTCTGTACACCTGGCGCTCGCCAGAGTACTTCTTTTAACTCCTTTTCCTCAACTCGTGTGAAGGGTCAATGAAATTAAGGGGGGTCGGAAGCTCTATCCGTGCCCTTAAAAACACATCCTCAAGTAGGCAAACCGTTCAACGGGTGGAAGTTTTACTTGTACTAGAGACAGCTTAGCTTCACCTTGTAGGAGTACCCCACTAAGGATCACTAAAGTCTCCTCCAAAACCCGATTTTGTGCAATGAACGGTGCCACACATGTTGGGCTTGCCCCATGTTTCAGATTTTGATGATTTCGACATGGAGGACCAACTGCTTTTCATTTCCCACGTGAGCACCCTATTCGATACACGAGTCCATAACATAATCCAAACAGATTCACCGTTACCACATGAATTCAACCGTCTTAGCTCCACTAATTCACAAAATCAACTGGCACAGCAGAGAGCTAGATAGGAAAAATCATATACTTCAACATCCTCCATAGTGCTACACTACCTCCCTAGGTTGCACATTACTATAGAGACTGTCAATTCAAAGCATACTGAGCAGGCAATTTGCAAGGAAACACGTACTTGGAACCCTCAAATTTAAAAATTTGGACAGTGGACTAGGCTCCAAGCACACAAACAGCCAAACATTCACCCGCATACATAATCGAACATCCCCCCACACTTAAGCACGACATTGTCCTCAATGGAGGAAAGATAAGGAGGGTAGAACGAAGTTACCAGATCCAGGGTGAATGATGGTGGACGAGGCAGGCGGTGCATTCCAGGAGGAGAGAGTAGTCGAAACACAAACACCACACAAAATCTCACAAAGGTTGAGTTATTGACTCTAAAATCAAATAACAAAACTGACTCAACTGAGGAGAAATAGAGAAAGAAATGCAAACTTATTGGTAGTGTTGCCTCCCAACAAGCGCTTCTTTCACGTCGTGAGCCGGACGATGGCTCCTAAGTTTTGGTCCACCCCAAAACCTCCTTGAAGTTGAGGTTCTCGTCGATGAGGTCGAGTCTCAAGTCACGAGCATGTGGTGTGTCAGGTGATGAAGGCTCATGCACTTGATGCAGATGACGTCTCCACCCTCGAGATCTCTTCTTCTCTTCTCTCGTCTCATTGCCCCATACTAGATATGACAACATCGATTGGCCACCATCGCGTCCACCAAGAGGGACCGATATCGATGTGGCCTTGTTCTGGCAAAGAGACACTACAAATGGGTCCTTGCTAAGCAGTTCCTCGAAGTTTGCTGGAGATATCACATGTAACTCATGGCCGGTGCACGCCTCTTCCACCTCAACTCCGTCCTCAGCCTGGACGCCAATTGCTTCTTTAACCTCCCTTCCTTCTTCATGTGGTATCACCCCTGGGAAATGATCAAGAACTCCTTCTGCTTCATTTTCGTCATCCTCCACAACTTCTTTCTGCACCCTTTCTCGCTCTTCTTCTTCTAGCACGAATTGGAGAGCAAGTTGCCAAGCAATTTCTTTCATGAGATCTTCTTGATTCTCCTCACTCGTGTCCGCCTCTTTAAAGCTCAGTGTGGGATGTGGGAAGGTGTGGTCGGCTACGACAGGACATTCCTGATCATGATCATCACGGGAGCTCTCCGTGACACCTTCAGTGTGCTCCACAATGTCCTTGTAGCCTTCTTCTTCTTCCTCCTCCTCTTCTAGTATGGTAGCAGAAGGGTGATCTGGAGCAGGT